GAAAAGATGGTTCAAAATGATGACGTGCATTAGCTACCTTTTGTCTGATTTTTAAAATCACACTTCTAACCCCAAGGAGGATGGTCATCAGGAAGGATAGAGCAGAGAGGTCCTTTCGGATGACTTCTTGGAGCACAAATACAAGTCCAGATGATCCCAGAGGGAGATTTGATGGAACCACATGACGTTAGAAGCAGGTCCCATTAGAGAGATCACAACACACCAGGGCAGCCACAGCCCCAAAGAAAGAGCCATGGAGCCGGGGAATAGGTATTTCTGGACAAGGTCTGATGAATTTTCTTTCCTAGGAAGTATGAGCTAATGGAAATCCCACCATATCATTTCATGAAGGAGACCTAGACTCAGGATAATAGCTGGTTAGTCCATTTTGTGTTTTGGGAGAGTGCCAGGAAAGAAGGGAAAGACATGTTTTTCGTCATCATTCTTCGTTCCATTGTATTTGCCTTTCTGTTTAATCAGTTTCCCTTCCTCACAGCATTTTGCTTTGCCGCTGTCCTGCAGAAAACCATCAGTAGGTCATAGGTAGTTCATTTTTCAGTCATTACCAGATGAAAATGTCCTACAGTTGCTTAGAAGCAGGCATCTTTATCAAGAATTCCTACACTCCAATTTGTTACACCACTGATTTGATCTTCCTTTTTTCCAGCATCATCCAACTCTTGAAAAACTGCCTGTCCTTTTTATAACCTGGACTTATTCCAATGCTTACTAATCTATTGAGCTGAAGAAAAGAAACAAAGCAGGAAAAAAACGGTCAGACAGCATTCACCTCCACCATCCTCACTTCTAGATCAAATGCTTCCTCGCTCCTGTTCTCCTTATTAATTCCAGGCAAGAGTATGCCAGATATTAAACCGCTTTCCACAAAGTTGTGTAAAGGAAGGTTTTTGCACAACCATCACAGTTCAGTTTAGAAAAAGCAGATGCTTTCCCTAGTTTCCGCTCCCACAGAGGTGCAAACTCAGCAGTGTTTGTTATGACACCATTTTGATGAAGCTAACAAAAAGGTGAAAGTAGTCGAGTCGACAAAATGGCCAGTATTTTTATATTCTACAAAAGCTAAGCTGTAACAGAAGCGTGGACCTTTGACTTTTGTAGCTGGTTCACCCCAAACCCGATATCTTCATTTCAGCAAAAATATAAAAATACAACTTTCATGAATAAGAGTCCTTAGTACCATAGCAAGGTCTGTGCCAAAATTATAAATGTTTTTATTCTCATGAGCACAGCCCCCCTTCTCAATGATTTGAGTTTGCTGGCTTCTCTTTTGTTCTTGTGTTTTAGAAGAGGCCCTAAAGGCTTCATAATCAACAGAAAGGAGTTTTACATAGTTTTGGCACAAGTTCAAAAACTGGTCTTGATTTACTCAAAAGCACACACACACCAAAAAGGATTTTATCTACCTAGAGCGATTTCAGTACTGAGTATCTTCCACGTGCAGCTCTTGTAAAGGAATTTAAGTTATTCTACTTAGAAATCTGGGGCAATGCTTCCTGTGATTCCAGCGCTTCTGAACTTTGTCACCTCTGTGATAAAATTAATAAAATTAATAGGAACATTAACAAATCGTTTGGCCAGTCTGAACTAGTTTTTATTGAAGATGAATTGCAGTAGCTTTCAACCTGGCAAAAACTTGTGCAGCTTTAGCTACACTATCAGAAAAATTCAGGGACTGGCAGTGGAAATAGAGGAGCCAGGGTAGGGAATTTCACTAAAATATAAACATTAAGATTTCAATTCACTTTAAGGAAAATATAGCAACGCAAGAAATGAGATTTGATTAAGGGCACTGCTAGTCAAGGGACTGGAATCAAACAATAGGTAAGTGCTGGATGGATATCATCACTCTGACCAAAGTTTGCCATGAGTGCAAAATGCTGATTCCTCATGGTTAACACTTACAGTTAGCCTCCTGGATTTGATTGTGCCTGTCTTTAAGCAGAAGTACGGTCCTGTCCCATAGTGTGACCTCCCTTCTGAGGAAGGACACAAGTTTGGTCCCTTGCATGCCATGCCATATTTCATATCAATGATCCGATACACAGATCCCCCACCCCTAGATTTAGACAAGGTAAGCAGTAGCAGAGCTGAGCAGCAGAATGGATGGAGCATATTTACTCTAAGATTTCTGTCAGGCAGCTGCCACTCATGTTCCAGGTTGCCTTTTTTATTTTTTTTTGTGACTGCTCTTGCCACAAAACACTTGCAGTACCCTCCTGCACCCCTGTTTACTCGCTGGGCCAAAGAGCTGATGGCTGGCCAGTGTGTTTGCATGGACTGATAAGCCAACCACCTAAAAAAGACTTTGCTCTCTCGAAAGGGGCATATTTTTCCTCTTCTTTCCTAAGCTGTCAGTTTTCTGAAAGTTACAGAAAACTATTTACCCTCAGAGCTTTTACTTCCCCAACAAATGTCATTGTCTTTGTAAGATGCAGTTACATTCAGTATAGATAAGTGTGAATAGAACCAGAATTATCAACTTCTCCAACACCAAGTCACACATCACACACAGTCTGGGTCTCTCCTACCCCCCTAATCTTTTGGAAGCTATCTCCTTGCAAACATCAGGACCGCAGACACCAGAAGTGACTCAGAAAGTCCACAGGCTACAGGTTCAGTCTGCTGCAGTCTTACACAGGTGGGGAATACAACATCTCCAGATACCCAGGGCACTGGTTGAACATGAACAAGCCAGACATTATGCAACACTGCACTGAGGTTTCCTACAAAAATACATGTTTTTCTCTTGTTTTTCTAATCCAACTATTTTCCCAAGACATCGAAAAAAGGATTACCAAAGGGTTGGAGAGCTGTCAGACGGGTTCAGAACTAAATTCCCAAATATTGGTAAAATACAAAAAAATTACCAGAGAAGAGGCATTTCCCCTCTACTCTCCTTGTTCCCTCCCACCCCCAAGTGCTGAAGTGCCATTTTAGCACACCATATTTCAGCTGTTGTTCTCACAGATAAAGTAATCTCTAAAGCACTAAAAAGTGCAAAACTTGTCACGTACAATAAAAACCATATAGGTACCTCTTCTTCTCCAAGAAAGGCAGCCCAGTAAAATTCTCCCATAACAAGCAGTAAAGAAAATATTTTACTTTCAAATCCTTCCTCACTGAGTACCCACATTATAGATAAAACAAACATAACGAAAGGGAATAAATTATCAAGTGAAGTTCCATCAGTGTGTTGACTGTACTTTTAACAAAAATATGGTCAAAGATAAAATGGGTTATGGAAACACATTCAGATTTTTCCAGAACAATCTCTAGAATGCTATTTAATCCAAATCTCCATGTTACAGTTTAGCACTGCCCTGTAATACTGTGGAACAATGTCCACCTCATGCTTGGAATACACACATTTAGAAAGAAGATTTTATTACAAAACATAGGTTTGAAAAGCAAAACATAATTTTTTTTCCAGTGTCCTTCATAGATAGTTGAATTATTAATATTTAAAGAAGAGCCATGGATTTTGCCTTTTTTTTTTTAATTATATAACTTGCAGCTGGTAGTCTACAAAGAGAGACGTTGTCAATATACGATAGGACACATCCCCCAAAATACTAGCACTTTGGAGATAAAACATGTAGCACAGAAAATTGTTGTGGAAACCTGATGACGGTTTTTTTGTTTCAACACATTGACGAGAATTTCGGCTACTAACGATGGAAGGATAAGAAGAGAACACTGGTCTGGATTTTAAAGTTAACGGTGATAACATTTTGCAGCTGAAATTACACCATGGACTGGGACGGTATTCTCTTCTTGTCCTACAGTGCTAAACCAAAGCAAACAAACAAAAAGATTTCTCATTTACATGGTGATAGGACCATCTGCTGCCCAAGTAATAACCCAAAATAAAACAGTCCTTCAGGCGCTGCGCCGGCTGGAGCAGCACGCGTGCAATGCGCACACTGACATAATTCACCCACTGTGAGGAAAGAGGCTGCCTTACGTAAGGGCCTGCCGCTTTCTTTTTTTTCCTTTTTTCTTGCTGGCTACACAGCTTTTCAGCGCTCCCAAAGGCTGTTTTATTTTTCATACTTTCTTTAACCAGAGACATCTTGCGAGAAAAGTACAAGTCTTTAAGGCTAACGTTACAATCCAAGCAGAAGAGCTAGTCACACAAAGAGAAAGGACTTTCGAAGCTTTAGCTCATTTTAAATGACACTTACATTCATTTCTGCAGTTTTTCTGCTATAAGCAAATGGAGACCCTCATTCTGTATTTCACTGAACACCTCAAAATCCCTTGATAGTCTGTGAACATCTGGAGTCCACATGAATACAGAATTAATCCCCAAGGCTGGACAGCAAAACAGGTCAGGAACCATCCCTGCTACAAAAGTCACTGTGGAAATCTTGCATCAGATCAACTGAAACCAGGCTGCACTTCACTACTAGTTTTGTAACACAAGTTTTATTTTCAGACCAACCTCCCTTAACCAGCTCTTTCCCACAGTATAACATTAGCAATGACCTGAACTATCCTGATAAAACCTACAACAGGTAGGTCTGTCCATACTCAGCAGCCAGGCATTCCTAGGACATTCTTGTAACCAGATTCTTAGCACCCTTCATTCTCCCAAGCGTCTTTGGAGGAGTTGATGGTACTCAGCTCCTGGGGCTTTTAAGCCTTTCCTTCTTCCATTGCGGGGGGCAGGAAAAAAATGGAAAGGAAAAAGGAAAGAAACAAACAAAGTCATCAACACACATGTGCTCTCCTACACACACACATCCTCACACAGAGTTTAAAAAAAAACAAAAAAAAGGAAAAAGGAAAGTTGTACGAGGTGCCAATCTGGAATGAAATGGGTTTTTGAACAGACAGTCATATTTGGCACTGTCAGCAAAAGCTTGTGGGTGGCCCTGTGTTTCTCCGAGCCTTAATGCCCTTTTTACATCGGTCATTTAAAAATGTCCCCCGGAAAGTTCAGGTGTGCTGCTTCTGACATTTTCACAATGCTGCTGAAGGGACTGGATGGAGAGATTTGCTTTTCCCCACCCCAGTTCCATAAAGCACTATACATTAAGGACGTATTCCATTTGGCCTTCAAGTATCATTTTATGGTCCATACATATCCACAATTATTTTCCCTTTAAAAAGAATCAACAGAAAACAGAACTCTCTGTTGGAAAGCATGGAAATTAAAAAGTATTGGATCTCCCAAACAGACTCCTACGATCCTCAGGCAGAAGACTGGATTGAAGGGTCCTCACATGGTTCTAGCTGCATTCTCAGTACACCACTTTTATGAAGAAACCAGAGCTGTAGAAATTCCTCTGGCATGGCGTGGAATCCAGAATCGGGCAAGACATTGTCATAGTAATGATGGCTAATAAACTTCCCTTGCAGGTCCACCGAGAATGGCCAGAAGCCATAAGTTGTTACTTCTTCACACAGACCAAGGGCGGCACTGACAAGGAAAAGTCCCGTTGAAAGCCGTTTGGCATGGATACCTTTGCTCTTCCAGAACTTGCCAATGTCACGCAGGAAATTAGGGTTGGCGAAAAGGACTGCCTGCTTGGCACCGAAATCCTCTAGGGTGTAATAGACACGTAGGGATGGTCCCGTCCCTGTCTTCATCGAGAAGGCTGGCATGTAGATGTAGCTGTGGTTATACACCTTCACACTGTCCACAAATGCTTTTCGAGACCACAGCAGATTCTGGAACCTGTAAAACAACAGAGAAAAACAAGTTGGTCACACATAGGTTTTCCTATGTTTTCATTTCAAAACCCAGCTAAAAGCTGCTCTTCATACACATATTTACAATTACCTGCACACCTTTCTGGAGCCCAGAGAAAGCCCAGACAAACTTCTGACTGCTGACACTGCATCTCTTCTAAAAACATAAACCTGAATAGACAGCTGAAAACTACCTGGTATCCTGCTAGCTCCAGAAACCAAAACATTTCTGATTTCAACTTTTCCAAAAGTCTTGAATGAACACTGACAGTTTTCCTGAAAACCAGTAATTTTTAGTGACATTTTTCTTTTTGTCCAACACCCAACTTATTTTTTCAGGCACAGCAATCTTTAAAAGAAATTTTGTTTCTTAAAGGCATACTGAAAAAGAATCCAAGTTACATGCTGAACAAGCAATACCAAGAAATATTTAAATAGAAAATTTGGACTTATAAAACTTGTAAGACTTGTAAGAATTGTTTTTATTACACCTGTACAGTGATTTAGGCTGCCCTACCCATAGTAGTTTATTCTCTTTCTGGAATTGAGAGAAATCTCAGAGAGAACATACTTTGTTACAAACAATAAAACAGAAATCAATGAATTGTTTAGGATAAGTGGCATCAGAAAAATTTAGCAAAAGGTACCAAACGATATTCAGAGCTGATGTTTAAGATGGCCCAATTTACACAGAGTAGGTTTAAAAGCAGCTGATATTTGTGGCACGCAAGTTAAAGGAGAGACTAGTTGGCAACTATAAGGAGGGCAATGTATATGTACAGATTATTTCTCTAATAAGGTAATCTTCTCATCTCTTGATATAAAAACTACATCAGGTTACAATTTGTTAAACTGCCAATAGCTATTTGGCAGTTTAATAGATGTCTATTTTATCTCTGACATTAGACTTACATACTACTCCAAAACCAGTATCCTGTCAAGACTATAACCTTTCTTTGTCATATGCCTCTGGATATGCCAAGAGAAACAAGACATCTGGCAGGAAATCCTAGGCCATTCACGCACACCAAAACCTGGACTCATATTTCATCTGTCCTGAGGTTTGACACCAAACAAATCACACTTCAGTAAAAGATTAAAATATCCTGAATATGTATCATTGGATGTAACTGATATCAAGGTCAGCCAGAGCCATGGGTAAAATCCAATAGCTAAACTACAAACTTGCTAAGTAACAGGAACACTTGCTGTCCTGGGGTGTTGAATGCATTGGAGAGTACCTTTGCATGAGAAAGTCACTATGATTTATTCTCGATAATTTGCGTTCCTTCCAGAGTCCATGTAATGTTCAGCGCACCAGGAAGTCCTCGCCGCCTTTACCGTGTGACATGATCTATAGACTTCAGCATGCAGGCAAGTTTGCTACATTAAAAGCCACTTCCGCACAAGCCTCACACGCACTCCCTTCATGCAGCTGGGTTGCTCTCCCGCATATGATCCCTAATTTCTTCTCAGCTCTTAAGTACCCGTCTTGCCCTTGTTGCTGCCTCCTCTCTGTTTCCTGCAGCTAAGGCAAATATGTCATGACTAATGTCATAGTCACGCAGCAGAGGGGTCAGAATGAAAAACTTGAGACAGCAGCATTGGATTTTCTTCCTTTCTCTGGTGCAGGCAGAGATAGGTATAAGAATACCTTTTTTAAAGTGTTATGAAGAGATCAATTTTGTGCATAGACCTGTCTGAAACAACAGCAAGAATCACACACAGAGCAAGATACACAGGTTTAAGTAGGATACCAGATGACCCCAAGAAGCACCACATAAAATTTCAGCTGAAACAATTGCCAACAAAAAATACAGCTTCAGCAGCATTGAAACGTCTTGTGAACATGTGCCAGGTTTTTTGAAGTCTTTGTTTTGGCAGAAAAATTGAAATACTCCTCATAAGTTGAAAGGTTTTGTCGGTATTTTCAACATTAAATATTTGGTCTCCTGATTTGCTACAAGTTTCTTTCAAAACTTCCTTCAAGTGGGATTAGAATGAAGGTGTTTTGAAGCAAACCCCCTGAAATCTGCCTGGGTCTTCATTACTGTTTTGCTCTACTGTATGGTGCTATTCGCTAATGTCGACAAGCCCATTGTCTTCCAAGCAAGACATAAATTCAAACTAAATATACAAAACAAAGCAATAAAAATAATTTCATAACTTACTGCATTTGGCATTCTTTTCTGTAGAAATAGCCAAGACACAGCGAAATATAGAAGGCCAGCCAAGACCAAGGTGCCCTGGCAGAAATTCACTGTCTGGCTATACCTTCTCATATGGGCCCTCTCACTCCATTACCATCAGAACTTTAACTAAGTGTTCCCCAAAATAGGCTTTATCATCCTCTCTTCCTAAGAAGCAGTAAGACAACCTGTCAGATTATTGGGTACAGGAGTTGGGTCCCTCCTATCAAACTTGTTCCATTTCCATTAGGACACGGTCACTGAGAGTAAAAAAAAAAAAACAACAACAACAAACAAAAACAAAAAAACCCTAGCTTAATAAATTCAATATTCACCTAAGTGCTCTGAGCCTCAGTATCTAAACCATGTTCTAATAACTCTAATCGCTTATAAAAGGTAGAATAAGACCAGTAGCAGGCTTTTGGACTATCCCCCTCCCCATAACTTGGGACATCCACTGGGAGGTGGGAGATGTAGGTTCAAACCTCATTTCACAGTAAGGGGAACTTGAGCACACAGCTTGATGCAATGGGGTCCCTGCACCTTAGCTGAGAAGGCGGCAGAAACAGGTCCTCTGCCACTCCTGGAAGCCAGTTTCACCATGTCCTTTCCCACTTACAGCTAGTTAACAAATTTCACTTCAGACGGCAAATAGATGTGGTTATTCTTAAAACTGCATTTTTCAGCAAATTTACCACTCACAGTAAAGCACTGCGCAGTTCTAAGACTATCACATTAAAATTGCTCAGATACAGTCACAGAGGGCCAGGGACTGTCTCCGAATATTCAGTTGCTGTCATTGCCACAACGCGTTCACGTTTCTTCCAGATGAATCTCCCCAAATGCCTTAAAGTAACGAGACGTGAACAGCACTGCCATGAGAGTGGTTCATGGGAGGGACTTCACGCAGAAGGGATAGTATTTGTCACGCTGCTCCAAACAGTCCTTCAGGAACATCATCACTTCCAGGAAACCCGTGCCTCATTCAAATGTTCTGGATCGCAGTGTTGGTAGGCATCGCGCCCACTTCAACAGATGGACATTATACAGGTGGCCAGGAGCCCATGTAGAAGCATAAAACATGCCGATGACGGCTGGTCTGATGGCCTAACACAGCCAAAAAGCTGCCTACCCACCTTGCGCTCCTCATGAGGGGAGATATTAGAAGCAAATGAAGTTTTCTGTTCCCCATTTGTAAAAATAGGAGCCCTGTCCAGCTTTCTGACATTTCACAGGCTGGTTAGGGGCTGAGAAATCTGGGGACAAACGCCATGTGTTAGCAAGTTTCTAGAAATGATACTGGAAGATCAGGTGTATTCTCCTTTAACTCCCAATCCAGATGGGGAGTCCTGCAGGCAATCCCATTCCAGCAGTGGCTTTGGGGGTACCGTACTGCTTCCATCCCAGCAGACAGTGAGGAGGACACTCCATGCCTGGCCAGACCAGGGGGGCTTTTCCTCTGCAGCTGACCAGCTCTGTAGTGCAAGCGTGAGCCTGATGATGCATTTTTTTCCTGCTTGCCCTGGCACGGATGCCACCAGCCTGGTGCAGTGCCCGCATCCAGAGGGGCACAAACGCCTTCCCTCATGCCGATCCTTGCCCAGCCTTCTTTGAATGAGGAGCTGCTGGTTCCTAGTTAGTGCTCGCCTCTACCTGACACGCTTGGAACATGCGGTAATCTCAGTGGCACAGCCCAGAAACTGTGCAGCTCCTCCCCACTCACCACACTTCAAGAGAAACTCATCAAACGATCCAGCCCCTTGTGCAAGAGTGCACCTCAGGCAACATTATCTCCCCAGCTCAGCTCCGAGCAAGAAACAGCTGAACTGCTCTCAGGATCCTCCTCTGACCTTCTGCAGTCAAGCTCATACAAACGCATGGCGGGTTGCCAACATTTAGATAAAACTGGATCTGGAATCTCCCAAGCCCTGAGCAGCACCTTAAGACTATGAAAGTTGCTCAATAATTTGCAGTAACGTGTCCCAGCAGCTTGATGGCAGCCCAGAGAGGCGCTGAAGGCTCTGAATGCTGTAGAGTTCCCTCACATGTTCTGCTCTACTTTTCCTGGGAGAATATGCATCCAAGAGAAAACTGCCACAGTACATTGTCGTAACAGTACCAACAAAAACTTAAGAGCACTAAGTGTTCTGCTTTTTGGTTTTGATCTGTTTTTAACAGATGATGTTCTTCAGCAGATATCTGGGGACAGGACTGGTCCCTGGTACTGAGAGATGACTTCCAGTAACCACAAAGAATTTGCTGCAGTGACATTGAGCTAACCTGCTTGCAGATAATAATGGCAGCATTTTCTCGCATCTTGGTTTCTTTTTGATCTCCCCGGAGAGTCCCTATCTCATGCCTGTGATGATATCCCAGTTATTTACTGTGGTGGCATCTGCAAAGTCACAAGTTCGGCATTCTGGATTAATTGCAAGCTGACTTATCCAAAAAAATAAGAAAAAAAAAAGATTAAGTAATAATGGAAATAGCTCGGATGCCAAAGAACTAGTGTATTATTTTAAAATTAATACAAATAGAGCTCAAGAGAACAGAGCAAAAGGCATATAAAGCCTTATGTATTTGTCCCTCTGTCAAAGGATAATCTTACAGAAATCATTTAGATAATTTGATGTCAGCATTAGCCAAGCTGTTGAATATGCTTATAGCTGGGGTCACAAGAAGTCAGCTTGCACCCACACATCTGAACTGCCACTGCAGTGACAGAGTTTTACTGCACTCGTTTCTCAGAGTGCTTTTATGCTTTCAAGTAGTGATGCCCTCCTTAATGCCCTACGCTCTCATTCACAT